TCAATGTCAGTTTCGATTTGTTCCAAAAATATTTTTAATTTATCTAAGTTATGACGTATACCTCGGATATTTTTATTAATTAGAGTAAAATTTTGTGAGTTTTTATTTGTGTTGAGTACTTCGTTTAACTCATCAGAATTTAATATAGAAAAAGTATCGAGTTTAGTTAGTGTAAAATCCCGCAAATATTGATTCATATTTTAATTTTAATACCTACCTAATTATATAACTTAAAATAAAACCTAATTAGCATCTATCACTAAACGGTGTACATAAAATTGTCCTGTATCCCTATAAACTATTTCCTTCCAGCACGTATCGGATTAGTGCGTTTTGGTGTCCCGCGATCATCGGTTGTGGTATTTTTCCTACTCTTGTTGTTATTTTTTAAATTCTGCACTATTTTATTTTCTTTGATGTCTTCTTTGGCCTCTTTTTGTTCCTCATCAAATACTTCACATGATGACGTGGAAGGTTCACTGTTTGCTCTTCTAGGTGGTGGGGATAAGTCTTTGAATGTATAAAGCTCACCTTCTATGTAAAGTTTATTTCCTTTTAAATTTGCCTTTTTATTTTTATTTCTTGCAGCACGGAGATGCTCTAATAGCACTTTTCTTTCTTCTAGGTCTTTCTTTATTAGATCCTCTTGTAATGATATATTTGTTCCTTTAAGTTTTTTTCCGTTTTTTAGGAATGCTAATTTTGTACTGCACACTTCGGTATCACTTTTTCGTTTTATTTCAAATTATTAATCACTTAATTTCGCCATTTAACGCAGAGCATCGATACACATTATTTTACCCAACCAGTGGCTTGCTTGCTTTTTTTTAGCCTTAAACTCGTTAGTCTCAAGTACCAAATGTATCTGGCCTATTGTAAGTAAAGACAAGTATTCAGTTCTATGCCATGTTGCCTTGAAAGTGAAAGCGTTATTCAGTTCAACCTATTTGTGTGAATCTTCTTTTTCCAATATGAAGTTTATTAAGAACAAATATCGCAATCGACTTACAGATGAACATTTGGATAATTGTATTCGAATGGCTGTATCAAATTTTATTGCAAACATTAAAAAAATTATCGATGAGTCTGAGTATCAGCCTTCTCATTGAACGTGCTTTTTTATTTTTCAATATTTATGTTCATGATAGTGCGTTACTTTTTTGTTGTTATTATTAACTATTTTTAAATCTTACGTGACATGCCGTTGTGGCTGGATAAAAGTTTGTGTTTATTCTTCAAACACCTTCGTTTGGTATGTAGGAATGTAGCTATGAACAAGTACGTACTAGTAATATTAGTTATTTTGTTATTAGTTTATTATTAGTACCTATGTATTATGTATTACCAATTAAATAGTAAAATAAATACATATAATGATAAATTAACTGTGGATTATTTTATTTACGTTGCGTTACGTGGCTTCCGTGTGGGTAGCTCGCTGTTTATTCCAAAATTAACAAAGTAGCTCAACACATTGAGAGGTTGGCGACCACTGGCTTAAAACCTGTTGATAGCGAAGTATTTTGCCGCCAACTGTATTAGAGCAGAGTTGCCAGATTAACAGAAAATATTTTTTTACTTAAGCAAAGTTGCCCCACTTTACGGTATCTGTTTTGTTCAAAAATGGCTTTCAAAATTTAATGTTCATTTCATTTGATTTTTAATTGTTTGAATATAGAATTATTAGGTAAGGTTAGGTTAGGTAACGATTAAAATATAATTATAATAATTATTATTATTATTATTATTAATATTTTGATTAAAACAGTTTTACAAATAAATTTTTTTATTTATTTTCATGTACCATTTTGCTCTTTAAAAGTGATGTCAAAAACAATCAAATGTTGTTCAGTATTTTAATAAACATGCAATAAGAGATAATTTGTCCTATTAGAAATATTCTAAATAATACAAACTTACTAGTATTATAGATTATTTTGAAAATAATAAGATTTTGCTAAATAACAATGAAATTAAAAAAAATAACCTCACATTTTATATATCGTTAGAATGGGAAAATTTTTGTCTTTTTTTGTACGCCACTGTCAACTATTTGTTCCATATAAAAAATACAACTTTATGATATAACTCGTATTTGAAGAATTTAAAAAAATAATTGACTACTCCACTGGATTCTTATCAAAAAAGTGCTTAAAGAAGGTATTAATAATTTTCTTCCACTTTCATAAATAAGCGAGATAACTCGAAAACAAAAGATAATAGCTAATTTTATAAAAAAACCGTTAGGTTTTTCTCAAAATAAATAGATCGAGGATGAGAGGTCCATTTTTCATACCATTTACAGTTAAGGAGATTCTTTATTAAAACACCCTATATATTCCCTGGCATAAAATTCCACCACCCTCAAATTTTAATCAAGTTTAATAACTTTTTTACTTTCCTATCTGTATACAGATATAAGGAAAGTATAGGAATCATGATTTTTTTCGACCTCGAGTTTTCGACGGATTTTTACGTTTTGAGGTCCCCTGAATCCGTTTTGACTATTTTCGCGATGATGTCTGTGTGTGTGTGTGTGTGTCTGTGTGTCTGTGTGTCTGTGTGTCTGTGTGTCTGTGTGTGTGTGTGTCTGTATAACGCATAACTCATGAACCGATACACGGAAAAACACCAAATTTTAAACTTAAGCTTTGTTCCAACGTCTAATGAGCTGATTAGATTTTGGGCAGAGTCGGAACATCTGGGGGGGTACTTTATAGGTGGTCATTTTTATATTTTATGGAATATATCTGTTATTTACGTTTGGGGAAGAAAATTTTTCAAATGAAAGTTACTTCTTATTTTATTATCTATAATTTTTGTTATATACAAAATTTTCCTAAAATGGTCCGTATTCGCGAAATTTGACAAAATGTTAAAAAATAATTTTTTCTATAAAAATTGTTCAAACAAAAGTTGTTTGTAATATAATTCTCTATAATTCTTATCCTATAGATAATTTCTCTAAAATGGACCGTATTCGAGATATTTAAGAAAATGTGTAAATTTCGAATTTTGAAGAAAACTCAAAAACGGATATAGAAAAAAACATTAAATTTTAAACTTAAGGTTTATTTCGGCCTGACGTAAAATGATTAGATTTTGGACAAAGTCGGAACATCTGGGGGGGTACTTTATGGGAGGCCGTTTCTATATTTTATGGAATATATCTGTTATTTATGTTTGGAGAAGAAAATTGTTCAAATAAAAGTTACTTCTAATATTATTATCTATAATTTTTGCTTTATGTCAAAATTTCCTGAAATGGTCCGTATTCGAGAAATTTGACAGAATGTGCAAAATTCTGATTTTTATGAAAATTGTTAAACTAAAAGTTGTTTGCGATATCGATCTCTATAATTTTTGTTTATACATGATATTTCTAAAATGGACCGTAATGGAAAAGTGCTAAACAAAATAACAAAATAACCGGAAAAAGCCTGTAATACCTAGATAGGAAAGTCATGTGTTGGACACATCAGATTTTTTACTTTCCTATCTGTATACAGATATAAGGAAAGTATAGGAATCATGATTTTTTTCGACCTCGAGTTTTCGACGGATTTTTACGTTTTGAGGTCCCCTGAATCCGTTTTGACTATTTTCGCGATGATGTCTGTCTGTGTGTGTGTGTGTGTGTCTGTGTGTGTGTGTGTGTGTGTGTGTGTGTGTGTGTGTGTGTGTGTGTGTGTGTGTGTGTGTGTGTGTGTGTGTGTGTGTGTCTGTGTGTGTGTGTGTCTGTATAACGCATAACTCATGAACCGATACACGGAAAAACACCAAATTTCAAACTTAAGCTTTATTCCAGCGTCTAATGAGCTGATTAGATTTTGGGCAGAGTCGGAACATCTGGGGGGGTACTTTATAGGTGGTCATTTTTATATTTTATGGAATATATCTGTTATTTACGTTTGGGGAAGAAAATTTTTTAAATAAAAGTTACTTCTTATTTTATTATCTATAATTTTTGTTATTTACAAAATTTTCCTAAAATGGTCCGTATTCGAGAAATTTGACAAAATGTAAAAAAATATTTTTTTTTATAAAAATTGTTCAAACAGAAGTTGTTTGTAATATAATTCTCTATAATTTTTGTCCCATAGATAATTTCTCTTAAATGGACCGTATTCGAGATATTTGAGAAAATGTGTAAATTTCGAAATTTGAAGAAAACTCAAAAACGGATAAAGAAAAAATCAATAAATTTTAAACTTAAGTTTTATTTTGGCCTGACGTGAAATGATTAGATTTTGGACAAAGTCGGAACATCTGGGGGGGTACTTTATGGGAGGCCGTTTATATATTTTATGGAATATATCTGTTATTTATGTTTGGAGAAGAAAATTGTTCAAATAAAAGTTACTTCTAATATTATTATCTATAATTTTTGCCTTATGTAAAAATTTCCTGAAATGGTCCGTATTCGAGAAATTTGACAAAATGTGCAAAATTCTGATTTTTATGAAAATTGTTGAAATAAAAGTTGTTTGCGATTTCGATCTCTATAATATTTGTTCATACATGATTTTTTTTAAATGGACCGTAATGGAAAAATTGTAGGAAAAGTGCTAAATTTAAATTTTTCAGTATTTTCATTTTCAATGAATATCTATAGAAAAATGTTTCGCGGTAGATGTATGTGGACAATGTATATATATATTTAGTTTATCCTCTAAACATTTATAGAGATGCTGCAATAGGTTGTACACAATAAACGGAAAAAGCCTGTAATAACTAGATAGGAAAGTCATGTGTTGAACACATCAGATTTTTTATCTTATTTTTATGAATTTTTTACCAATTTGTACATACAGGCAATAATATAAATGCGGTTTTTTATTTTTTGTTTGATTAATAAAACAAATCTTTCATCCCAGAATTATCTTTGGAGCCCTATACAGGGTGGTTGCGAAAAGAAATAAATTTAAATGTATTTAATTGTTATTTTTTATAAAATAAAGAATCTTAAATAACCATTTTTATAAAAAATATAAACTTACTTCACTGTCAAATATTTTCTCACATCTACTTTTGATATCATTCTCCGTTTTACATCTAATCAGTAAAAAAATAGTATTCACTTCTGTAGATCTAAGTAGTTTTTCGATTAGAATTTTTCCAAGAAACCCTGTACCACCAGTAATAAAAACATTAGTGTTTTTGTAGAACTTCTGTATAGGCGTTTCAGTTGCTGCCATCTTTTATTATTTATTAAATACAAAACAAATTAAGTAACTTTATCCATGCACATTTATGTTTAACCATTATTACATTGAGATCGCGATTGAATGGTGAATGTTTTTACGAACTCATTGTTTACACAAAATACCTTTTGAAGTCAACTTTAACTCTATTGAGTCGCATGTAGGTATTGAAAAAAAGAGTTTGAATAGTAATGATTTGCAATAATAACTAGCTTTTGTTTGTCTGTGGTAAATAACGGGTGTCCCATTACAAAGTAAAACATTTATAAATACAATTAATGCAGTTTTCGCTAAACTTCTTACATTTGGTATAGTTGTCATTAGGAATAAGAGGACAAATTATTTAAAATCCTTAATACATTATCGGCAAGAGGGCAGGACTATTTATTATTGTGATGAGACCTATTTACATAGTAGCCATACACATTCGAAAGGATAGATCGATGGCAAAGGCAAATTCAAAACTCCAATGTTGTATGCAGGGAGTAAGAATGGTTCCACAGTTTACAGGGAACCTGCAGAAAATGCGGAACAACTCTGGCAACGTACTCAAGATGCAATAAACAATCTTAGAGGTGATGAATAGGTTATGGAAAGGATACATTTTAATTTTCTTCGACGTATAAACCTTTGTATGCGTGAAAATGGTGAACATTTTGAACAATTATTGTAAAATCTCTATTTTGATTATGTTGTAAATAAATATTTTTGTGAAACCTATACACTCTAAATTATTAAAACAGAAATTTAGCGAAAACCATGAGAGTAATCGAGTCCTATCAAGAGTAGGGGAGTGTAGGTATGTTTGGGACGTAGGTATGTGTGGGACATTTAAATTTATATAAAAAAATTTAAATTTAGCGCGCTAGTTTTCTGTCACAATGTTACCACCATTACAATGAACTACTGAACAAAGTTTCATACTTGAGAGCTTTGCCAAACGCAATAGGTGTGCATTTTAATTTTACGTGAAGTAATGGTAAAGTTTCTCGTGTTTAAGTTTTTTTTTGTGATTAGGAACTAAGCTTCTGAAACTGTTTGGTAAGTAAGTCCTGATTTTATTGTCTCATTGCTAGAGATCATGTTTAGAGTGTTGCTTGATAAACATAACCTAGAGACACAGCTTATACAATACAGCTCCACAACTCCGTGTCGGCGTCTTTGATCTGGCGGTCGAGAACCAAGCAAGACGGAATGGTGCTATCTCTGTTAGATTCGAGGGAAAAGTCGGGCCCGGATTAAACAATTTTTTTATTATTGAAAAAATTGAAAACCTTGGCGTAATAAGGTTGGTTACATGCCATATTAAGTAAGTTTTGGGAAATTAAATTTTTAATTTGTTTTAAATCTGTCAAATATAATTAGAAACATTATTTAAATATAAATATTACGAAAAATAGCACATCTTTCGGATTAGAGGTAAAATAATTTGTATGTGGCTAGTAAAATCCTCGTTAACAAATGTTTTGAGCTAAAACAGTCACTTCACGACAAATTGTGGCTTGGATCCTTTTTACACCAAGGGCTTCAATTGTTAAAGAATTGTGTCACGCTCGTGGATGCAAATCAAGTGTTACTCTTCGCGCAAAGGGTTTATACCTAGATAAACGAATGCTTCGACTGAGGTCTGGGAACTCTATGGTATTTTGGAATTATAAAGAATTTGTGCTTTTATTTTAACAATATTGGTTATATTTAGATGTATTCTTATTAATTGAAATACAGATTTGTAGAAGTAATACTTTGACAGTTTTTATTAATATAATATATTCAATTTTTATCTGACCATACCGAAGTAGGGAATTTTGAAACTTTATAGTAATGTGAAATTTGAATTACAATATTACACGATATTACATAATTAGTACTTATTTTAGGTAGGCACTAAATTTGTACTTGGAGAAAGTAATATCGATTTTTATAAGAAAACTTGAAAAGTAAATTAATTTAGTTCCTATTTCTGATGTAAAACTTAAGTTTTGGTTTAAACCAAGAAAACAAATTATAGTTTGTTCAACAAGGGTGGATATGATAGCAATATCACACAAAGACGAAGTTTGAGCACGACGTCGTATGCGGAGTACTCAATCGTCTGATTGTGATATGAACAATCCACTCGATATGGTCAGTATATTTTTTCTACGACCCACTAACGAAAATCTACAAATTTAAAAAATGATTTTAGGTTATTTAGACAAAATAACTAATTTTAAAATAATTTACGAAGTTGACTAATTTATAAAATAAAATTAACATGAAAAATTAATTAGTCCTCGGCCTAGATTCGATCCCGGTCTTTTCGCGTGGAAGGCAGATGCTCTGTCCTCATCTTCACCGAAACTTTCAGGACTTTAGTTTTAATACTCGTAATTAAATTAGTATCATGTAGTTTGATTAAAATTTATTTTTTTTAAATGTGGACACAATAAAAACAAAAATGCTATTATTTATCGAGTCTACACAAAAATTTTAATGTATATTTAATATCAATAACTAAAATATATATTGACAATTAGTTTAACAGAATTGTAACTTATTTAAAAAAATTTAAATAATAGGAGTTGGGTGACCAAAATATGAACTGTGATTTGTAGATTTAATTTTGTTAAAGTGTTCTCACTACCTAAAATGGATATGAAATATATTCGTAGTTGAACGCAATAACATACTTTTTCGTTTTGTAGTATGTGCATAGATTGGCTAATATCCATGCACAGATTACAAAACGAAAAAGTATGCTATTGCCTTCAATTGAACGAATATATTTCATATCCATTCTAGGTAGTGAGAACACTGCAAAAAAAAATAAATTCGCCAATCACCGTTCATATTTCGATCAACCGACTGCTATTATTTTTAAAATTTTAAATAAATGACAATTCTGTCAAACTAATTGTCAGTATATTTTTTAGTTATTGAGATTAAACATACAATAAAATAAGTTATTCTTTTGGAAAACGTTAGCATGGATGACTAAAGGGTATTGGGTTAATTAATTCTAAAAGTGTGGTACAAATGTTATTTATTGTAGCCAATTCTTCAAAATTATTTTGAAATATCTTTTCAATATTGAATATTAGTTCTACAAATTCATCATTTGACAGTTGCAGATTTCCAAATGTATCTGGATTGGCGTTATCATATGCCTTTAAAAAGCAATAAAATTAAAAATCATCTAATTTAACGTGATCTTTGTTATATTTAAGACAGGTATCGCAGGAGTGGATCCGCAAGGCTTTTATTAAAAGGTAACCACACACATACCTGATAAAAATTTTCTGTAGCAATAATTTAGGGTGTTAATAATTTCATCATAAAATAAAATACAAGGTGTTCCATTTAAAAAACATACATTTTAATTTGCCAGGCAAAAACGTGACACCCTGTATATCCAAAGATATTTTTAAAATATGTAGGTATTTTTCTAATCCATATAACTTTTATTTAAAACTTTTTTGCGTGTCTACAACAAAATAATGAACAATAACGTACTAATGGGATACCCTGTATAAATTATATTTTTAACAATGAAAATTTCTTATAATGTGGTACTTATCGGTTTGGGTCCTTGGGAAAACTAAAGAATGTTTTCTTGCAGGTATAACCCTTATTAAAACAGCTTTTGACTGCACAAACAGAATGATGTCTTTGTTTTTCACTCATTCTACTCATAGCTAAAGAGTCACCAAAATAATAACAGTACCTTTAACTCAAACAAAATCAACGAAATTATAGGCTCCACGAAATTATACAATCAACGAAATTATAGGCTCCACGAAATTATACAATCAACGAAATTACACGCACGACTCAACACCTTACCTAAGTACGGTTCTGAACGCCAAAACCGTCTTTTCCCTCCGAAGGCGGAGCTTAAGCGATGCGCGACGAAATCGACGCAAACCGTTGCCGCCAAGAGAGTGTTTTAGCTGTATTGTATAAGCTGTGATATTAGTTGTTTGGTAGGTACGTTAGGGACACAAGATGGTAGGTATGTTTAGGACGTCCCAAACGTACTTACTATATGTCCCAAACATACCAACTGGGTTTTTCAATGCCTAGTTATTTTTCAGTTTCAAACTATTAAATTTGTAAATTTTGTTATTGTTTCTCTTTCAGATTAGGAAAATGACAAGCATTTATAAAAAAAAAAGACAGGCACAGAACTGAAACGAAAACCACATAAAATAATAAGTAAAGATGTTATTCAAAGAGCTTATTCTGATATTGTGGACAACAAAAAATCCATAAGAACAGCTGCAAAAGACTATGAGATTCCAAAGTCAACTCTTGCCAGATACATAAAAAAAAGAAATATTCCAGATAGCTCCACTTTTGGTTCTGTGCATACAAGCAGACAGATTTTCACAAAGGCAGAAGAAAATCAATTAGCAGACTATTTAATTAGAGCCAGCTATATGCATTACGGATTAGATTTAAAGCAAACGAAGGAGCTCGCTTATCAGTTTGCCATTGCTAATAATAAAAATGTTCCAGAAACTTGGCAAACCAATAAAGCAGCTGGGAAATTTTGGTGTTTAGGTTTCTTCAACAGGCATCCAAACCTTTCGTTGCTTCAACAGAAAAAATGTATCTGAATTTTTTGAAAAGCTAGAATCTTTATATGGACGATACAACTTTGATCCTTCGCAACTGTATAATGCAGATGAAACTGGGGTCACTACTGTCCAAAACCCTAGTAGAATAGTGGCAGAAAAAGGAAGAAAACAGGTTGGCAAAGTAACTTGTGCAGAGAGGGGGTCCCTAGTCACGGTTTGCTGCAGCATAAACGCTATCGGAAACTCAGTTCCGCCTTTCTTTATTTTTCCTAGAGTTAACTTTAAGGAATATATGCTGAAAAATGCTCCACATGGATCTGCAGGTAGGGCGTCACCATCAGGCTGGATAACAGCACCTTTCTTCTTGGACTACATTAAACATTTTGCTGCAAACGTAAATCCGTCTAAAGAAAAACCTATTTTTATAATTTCAGAACACCGAAACATATTCAAATTTAATTTATATGATCTTGACGTAAGTAATTTAAGATAATAAGAGGCTTATTCATTATATAGGTCAAATTTTAAAAGTTGATAGTGGGGATAGTAAAGAAAAAGGTCTCACAATTAAATTTCTCCGTAGACGTGGAGTTTCTGATACCTTTAACTATCCTCTTATCGATGACGTTCAAAATGTTAGTGAAA